AAAATGTTTTTTCAATTTCAGTTTTCATTATTTAGTTAGTTTTAATTAACTAAACCCTGCTTCAAACCTGGTCGGAGTCACTGCAGAACAAATGCCAGGACCTCAAGGAGAGAAACATCAGGATTGTAGGAGTACTGGAGGACGGTGATAGCTCTGCAGCCACCACTTCAGCTCTTCTCCAGAAGATGTGTTCTGTTTCCAGGATTGTGTCAACACTGCCAGGCCAGGTTGAAGGAGCAAATTCATGTAGACAGGATGATCCTCTGTTTACTYGGATTACACCAATCAGGTGGTCAAAGCCCAACCTGGACACACGATGAGACAACAGCTTTGTGGGTTGAAAGACGTAAGGTTCAGCATCCCCTATCCTGCTCACCTGAGGATAACCCACGGCCACTGATCTGCATTATATTGTCTGTATTAGTAATACAGATCAACGCCCACGACAACCAGATTTTTAAAATAACTGACACGGTCAGGTGTTATAAGGTCACAGTACACCTTCAATGTTCCAATCATRTTTTACTGAAAAACACTGAACAGGACAGTGGCTGATTTTCAGACCTTTGTGGAGGTAGATGAGAAGCAAAGCTTTTCCAATGATCTTGTCTGAGTATGGGCTGATCTAACAAAATTAAGGAAATCGGTGACGATAAATCAGATGGCCGATTTATCTGTACCCCTAATTTAGGGATGTAACAATTAATTAATCTACATTCTGTTGAAAAAGAGAAAAACAAAAATAATCATGATTGTAAACCATGATTATGCCCAACCCTAGTTAGTCACAGCGCCGCGACGAAGGACGTCCAAAACCGAAGACTCCTCCGATGCGGCCGACAAATACGTCCTTCCTTTTCCCCGATTTGAAGGACAGTTCCGATGGATCCTTCCCGGCCCAGCATATCCCATAATGCATTGCGGTCCGACCGGAGATTCTTTTTTTCTTGTAATGGCSGACGAAGCGAGAGTCGAAGCGATGGAGGAGTACAGTTTTAAATGTAAGTATATTAAAATCTGCCGGTAAAAAAATAGAAAATAAAAAGCGGTTGTATTGTTAGGCTTTAGTCCTTTGCATATACAGTATAAGATTTAAAATAATATTTATCTCAGAAATATCGTGAATAAGCTCATGTGGCGGGTCCTTTACTTTTTCGTGTATTCCCGCTAACTAAGCTAGTTTTTAATTTGAGACTTTTTTATTTGCTATTTTTTAGGGTCCAAGGAGCAGACTGAAGCTTTTATAAAGCTGAGGGAAAAATGAACACCTCTTCAGGGGGTTTAAGAATTCGGCCGCTGTGGGATGGAGGTACAAGAATAAACTTATCATAATAGTTATTAAAATACTTATAACCTGTGATCTTAAATGGAGTATACTTTCAATGGGGTTCCACTGGCTTTCCTTTTGTGTTCTGCTATGAAAACTGTTTTTACAAGAAGGGATTGACAGCTTACATGTTTCCTCTTCACTTATTTTTGTGTATGTTGACATACTTGTTTTATGCTACTTTCACTTGAGGATCACTTGGAGGTACTTTATACAGGACCGCATATATATACACACCTACTATGTCTCTCTATCCTTGTGGGGACTTTCCATTGACTTCTATTCACTTTTAGGAAATTTAATATCCTAAACCTGACCATTTACCCTAAAATTAACCTCACAGGTACCTGACCCTAAAACTAACCTAAACTCAATGCACACCTTGGTCCTACCCCCACCCCCCACCCAAAATCAGCCTCCGAAGTCAAGGGGACCGGGCTTTGTTCCCCATGATTACCTAATTTCCCTCTGGGATCAATAAAGTATTTTTGAATTGAATTGAATGAGGCTGCATTTTTCTGAAAAATTGTCCCCACCAAGTAGGAAAAACATGGGCGCACACACGCACGCACGCACACACACACACACACACACACACACACACACACACACA